GCTGCAGCATCAGCACCGGAAGCAGTTGCAGTGGCTGCAGTAGCTGCAGCAGCAACTGCAATTGCAGCAGCATGAAGCTGTCGCACTGCACCAGAGTAAACACTGCCTGAAGCTGGCTCGCATATACCCGAAACTGCTGCTGCAGCCGCTACCACTGCTGTTGCTATATTACATGTAGGGTTTGCTTCAGTCCATGTTGTGTGCTGCTGGGCTGCTGAAGGCTGGTGGTGCGCCCCCCCCAGGAACAGGCACGTCGTCTTCTTCTAGGAGCTGCAGCACCTTTAGTGCGGCCCAAATCCCAAAGACGAACTGCGCGATGCGGGCGAAGATACCAACGAAGAAAAAACTCGCAAACATGACGAAAGCAAAGACGAGAACCTTGAAAAGGTGGGGTTTTCTGAAGAAGTTAATAAACACCTGCAACAAAGAATTCTTGGCACGCATGTGCGCCCCTCGACGCTCATCCGCAATCACCCCTGATGCCTCGCTCTGCTGCGACTCTGTCTCCACAGGCAAGTCGGCAAGTGTCAGCTGGTGCTGCTGCTGCTGTTGCTGCTGCGGAAGGGCGGGACTGTCGTAGGCCCCGTAGCCGCGAGCTGCATCTGCACCTGGGTAGAAGGCGCCTCTTGCGGCCGCTTGACCCGAGTTCAAACTCAAAGTTGAATCGCCTAACATCGAGCTGCCTTGCGGAAACTGGAACCGCTGGGGTTCCGCATCGAACCCTGCAATCGGTACACTTGATCCCCACGCATTTACGTTTGGAGTCAAGGTCCCAACTGCGGGATGGGGGGCAGGAACTCCTGCTGCTGGTGCTGCTGCTGGTGCTCCTGGCTGCGGTATGTCCCACGAGCCCCAGTTCCCCGTTGCAGCACAGACGCCATGCGGGGCTANGGTGCTCCTGGCTGCGGTATGTCCCACGAGCCCCAGTTCCCCGTTGCAGCACAGACGCCATGCGGGGCTAGCAGCAGCAGCAGGGGCTGCAGCAACACGAAACCAACGCGGGCCGCCCGCCCGGCGCTTCTGGGCGGTATTGGCGTCTGTGCCGCCATAGCAGCGCCTAATCTGTCTGATGAATGAAGCTGAAGACGCTTTAGATTACGTCTTCTTTTCTGCTACAAAGCTTAAAGAAATAGGAACAGCTTTCGCTCTCGGGCTGCGTCGTGTGCTGGCGTAGGCCCCCTATGAGGCCATCATGATCCAGGACTCCCCCTAAGCCGATTATCTTCAACCCTTCTGCTATTTTGCAGTTATTTGCAATTAACTGTCCAAAGCAAATATCTTACAGCCAAAAAGAAGCCTGTCCGTCGACCCAGGGGAACGCCAGGCCGCTGCAACCCCCGTTGAGGAAGCCGCAGTGCAGGGGCCTTGGCAGTTGAACTGAATAGAATAAATCTACAACAAAAAGGATTCTGCCAAAACAAAAAGGAAACAACTTATCGACTCAAACGGAAGAAGAAGAAGACGAAGAAGGAGCAACAAGGCGGCCGCTCACAGCGGCAGATCGAGTCGCCTGCCGCCTTGCAAGTTTGATGCGAATATCAACCCGACAAGCATCAGCGGGCAGCCGCATGCTTCTTGCGAAGCAGCCCGGTTAATACTTTTGCTTGTATGCTTATTTATTGTTTTCGTGTTTAAATTTATACTTCAAAACAAGAAAGAGCAAAGGAATTTGTTATAAAGAGAAGCACATGTACACCTCCACCAGTACGAGTGCTGGAAGCCGTAGCAGCAGCCGAAACCGTCGATCGCCCGCTCCGCTTCAGTGCGGTTTTGTATGTTCCGCTGCATATATATTTATCTGAATATGTTCAATATGGGGAAAGCATGCGCTTTCATTAAGTTTTAAGTGTCTAGCGTGGCGCAGCCCGGCGCATTAGCCCGTCCCCCTCCGTTGACATGGCAATGGGGTTTCANTAAGTGTCTAGCGTGGCGCAGCCCGGCGCATTAGCCCGTCCCCCTCCGTTGACATGGCAATGGGGTTTCATTCTGCTCTGGCTTTTTCCATTAACACCGGAGGAACGAAAAGACAAAAGAATTTAGTCCGAAAGAGAAGCCCGCAAAAGCCAAGTAGGGCATTCTAATACTCAACTGAGGGGTACTTGTAACCGGGCTTGTCTGACGGTGGCCTAACATCTAATACAAACAGATAGCCGAGCTTAGGTCGCAATTGCTTACAGTGTTCCTGTATACACCGAAAGGAGCCTCAGTACAAGTGCATTTCGGGCTGCACACAGCTGTACTTGCGGCAAGGCGTGCTGAAACCTCACACGGAATATGCTGCTGCCCCTCCGCACAAACGCTACAGGCCGACCTGCCGCCGTAGACAGGAGGGGCTGTCATCAGTTGGGGCCGGAGATCACTTGCATGCGAAGCTGCATGCAGCAGTAATTGCAGCCCGCTTTGCTACAGTTCCTGGTAGTTACAAAAAATACATAATTATGTATTGCCCGTGCTGCAGCACACGGCGGCCCTCAGTTAAGGTGTAGAGCTTTCGTTAGAGAGAAAGTCTGAAAGGAATAAAGTATTGAGTTTAAACGTTTAGCACATATTAGGGGGGTAAGACGTGAATGGCTTCAGCCATAAACTTCACAAGTTTCCCATATACGGGGTGCTGTACGCCGCCGTTTCCCGTTATCATTTTGTCGATTTTTCTACCGCATACTTATGAACACTAGATATACATATATATATATATATATATATATATATATATATATATA